TATACATCACTAAGATAACAATGGCAGAAGAAGAAACAGACTTTGATAGATTTGTTTGATTAGTTAGTTTGACAATAATTATATATGTGAGGCTAACTGTTTGAGAAATGTGAGACTGTCTATTAATAAAACTGCTTATTACACTTTTGATTCTTAATAATGGTCCTACATTAGCTATGTTTACTCGAGTAGATGAGATGGCCCCCCCCCCAATACCAGGCTGTATAAATTAGAAATATGTTATTGCATACCAGGCCACGGTAACCAAAAGGTTGAGGAACCCTGTTTTAAAGAACAAATTAATATATGGCCCTACAGTCTATTCTATAATGCAATGCAGTCAATGAGACAATGGTACGGTATAGTGTGTGTATAATAAAATATGCAGTGGTGCAGAGAGGGGTAAATAGATACTACATTGTGTGTAATTAATCTGCAGTGTGCCTTTTTCCTGGATACATTCCTGCATGTATGACTTTTTTTCATAAGCAGCATCATGTATAATGGAAGCCAAGGGCAACGTGGAGGAATGTAAATGGGGGACTCTGGCTTGTTAGAAGGCCAGTTTGACTGTTTACATGCCCAACTTGTCCTAGGTTGACCCTAGTTAACAATTCATAGTGGAAGATTCTCCCCACCCAACCCCCCCCCCCCCCCCCCCCCCATCGGTGGTGGGAACAAAATGCATGTGGAGCCATTAGATGAACACTCTCGGTCTGGGCAGAATCACTCAGCCCCTTTTAGACTGTCTGTTCCCTGTGTCCTGTCCCTCTTCCTCTCTTTATTCCTTCAGTGCTAGACCTGCAGGTCAAGGTCCCTGTACCGTGGATGTGGGACACTGAGCATTCAGGCCACAATTCCCCCCCCAGCATCAAAACAGGTCAAGTGGTCCAGCGTGAACGACTTTGAGGAACAACCGGAGTATATATAAAGGAGCACTTGGGCACAACCTGAATGTTGTTATCGTTGAGTTAAGAGCAGCAACAGAAATAAAAAGTGATGAGTTTTAAATGACCGCCTCCCTGTAAGCTGGCCATTGTGGCACGATAAATCACTCAATGGAAAGAGCTTTTATCTATTATCAGTGGAGATAAGTCCTCAGCAATGAAAGAGGGGCATTGCGTGTGCTTACGTGTTTAGTAGTGTGTGTTTTAGTCTGTGTGTGTGTGTGTGTGTGTGTGTGTGTGTAATGGGGCGAGTAGGGAGCTAGTGGGGAGCTGAGTAGATCTGGAGAGACAGGTACATAAAGGACTGAAGATGGTGGACTTTGACAGGCGTGAGGGTAAAGGAAGAGGACAGGGGGTGGGGCACCAGCGGCGGATCCATCCCTGGTCACAAGGTTAATGACTTCTGCCGTAAGACTTTTACTATCCTAACTGCTGCGTCCGTAGCACGCGGGGGTCTTCCCGTCATCAGAGCAGGGCAGGACCGGAAGGAGAGGGTGCTCAATCCAACGGATAATGGGCATGAATACAGGAATAAAATGTATCATGCATATTAAACCACACGCCTGACTTTCAGAAAATACAGAGCACATAAAAGGGTGTGAAGAACGTGGTGGGGAAAACAAAAGCAGGGGAGGAAGCCATAAAAAGAGGAAAAGCCCAGTGCACAGGCCACCCCCTCCCACTACCCCCACCCCAGTTGGGAGATAAAGATGACTGATTCCTGCTCCACTTCAAGTCCAATCTCCTTAGTGCTGGAGAGGAGGCAAGTGCAAGAGTTAAGAGCACGGCAAGGGGATTTAGCATGAACCAAGGAGCTTGCTCCCTGAACTGAGTTCGGCGCGGTTGAAATGCAGACACACCAGGCTTTCTTCCTCACCCACCAGATCCGGCCCATCCTCCCGTCTCTGAATATTCACTCTTCCACACACACACACACACACACTCATGGTTGTGGTGGCGGCAGACTGTAACACCAACATAAGGTCCCTGGGCTGATGTGCTTCCCAGTGTTACACGCAGCATACCGAATGTTCAAAAGCTGAATAATTACCATGATAATCATCTTCATCCCACGAGGGTCTCCAAATGCATACCTGACATCTGACATTTTGGTACCCATGGCTCCTCTCTCAATCTGCATAATCACATTTCAACTTCAGTTTCATGCATATGTTTGAAGAAAATAACAATGTTGAATTTCCCGTACTGTGGTGTGGGCAGAGTGGAAAAAGCGAGGAGTCAGAAGCAACATATTAGTGCACCGCATTGAGGGAAAAGTGTAAATGGTAACCGGTAAATGCTTTAATAAGCAATTGAACATGTAAAGCACGTCGACAATAACACTGGATAATGGTATATGTTCAGCTTTTAGCACCATTAAGGTTAATCTTAAAGAAATAGAAGGCCAATTCCTGTAACATGTCCAGCAATTCAATATATTTGGTATCCAGTAATGACTAAGCTGCCCATGTTTTCAATTAGCCATTTAATTGGAGCTAACAAGTTGGGGATGGTGAGAAGTGATTAGGCAGAACACTTGGCAGATACAAGGGGACACAGTTAGCCAGTTAGCCCTCCATTTAGCACTTATGAGTGTTAGTGTGAAGGTAGCGAGGGGAGGGGCCTGTTCCTGCCACTATCCTCAGCACCAACACACGGCCCACTCACTCACATATTCACAGCTCTGCACAGCATCTTGGCTGGAGATCGTAAGCGCCAATCCCTCTCACTTTGAATCAAGCTGTGACGGGACGGCGGTCCATCCTCCCATGTTTCCTCAAAAGCAGAGCCACTGATATAAGCTTAAATGGCAGCCATATCTATCTCTGCAGCGTTATGTTGCCTGCACCTGGGAGAATCCCTTAAACTGTTAAGGCAGCTCATTCCACTGAAAGGCTACAGTGGACTTTATGACAGTGTTCCTCCCTGTGAGGACCATCTGATGCAATGGACCCCCCCGGGTTTTTGGGTAGCCTGTGATTTCACGTCACCCGAGAGTGACATTCCTGACAAAGCCGCCCTGTTTTTCGTCCATTAATGAGCTAAATGGAATTACCTTTTTCTTTTTTTTTCACAGGATCTGTTTTTCTGCACTTGCCCTTTGGAACCACTGGAGGGGGATTTTAACATGCCATTAGCCTCTGACACAGGCTTTTTGACACTGTATTGGCAGTGGGAGAGTTGTGAGATATTTACCCTGGGCTCCAGACGGGGGGGACCGGGGTGGGGGATGGACGGCAGGGAAAGACCAGTGCTCTCCAGTGAGAAGAGATGGAGAGGGCGCCTTGGGGCAGGTGGGGTGGAAGGGCCCAGTCTGGGCCCTGGCCACTGCAACCTGCCAGAAACACCCCGAATCCCATTTATTCCCAGTGACCTTAAATAAAACGCTGGCTACCCCTGTGGGCCCCATCTGAGGCCAAAATCAAATGGGCTGTGCTTTCCGCTCCCTCCACCCTACTGCTAGAGAAAATGAGCTTTATCTGCGGGGGAACTCTGGGCCATGTGACTAATGCCCTCATCCCGCCTGTGTTTCCCTGCAAACCCTTTTGGAGAGTTAATCGGCAAAGCTGTCGCTTTTTAATTACTGCCTTATGGTATGAGGGGGTCCTAACGTGCACAAAAATCTTTGGTTCACTTTGAGAAGTTTCTGAGTGCCGTGTCAAGACAGCAATTGGACATCTTGCGTTCTGAGGCACATTTGAATATGACACAAACGCACAAGTAAGTGCCCACACAGACTCACCCGCACTTACACAAAAAAAGTCACACACACACACAGGTGTGTGCACACATACCTACGCACACTCATATGCACAGTCCCCAAGGTGACATGTGGGCTTGTCCACCATCCGAGGGTGAATAATTACAGTAAAGGAACTGATAAAATAAATATGTGGTCCCAGTTGATTAAGTTGTGCTGGCGGAGAGTTGGGACCCGTCTCAAAGAGGTGAGAGCTGATGATAGGTTTTACGCTGTATAATCCAATAAGTGCCAAGGTCTTAAAGCTAATATTATGGTCCATAGGGAACAAAACATGGTCCATAGGCAACATAACACAGGGATTTACCTTGAACTGGGATTGTTCAATTGTACTTGTGTTTATTTGGTTGTAATAAAAATGAATATTTGTATTGTTTTCTCATTGTCTTTTGTTCTTGTTCCTTGAGCTCGCAGGTAATTTGTAATCCCAGCCAAACACTTGGCAAAAAAAGTTGCCTATCTATCAAGGGCACCTCTGTGTCACGTGGACCCACACAGTCTACTGGTGTTTTTAAAGTGCCCACTACACGTCCATGCAGAGCCAAAGTCTGCATCAGTGACTCTAATTAAAGTGGAGTTAATCACAAATAGCTGAATAGGGCCACAATCGAGGCATATGTTAAGAATGAATTACTAATTAGAGCAGTGCATGGTGAGACAAGTCCCAGACTGTTTGAGTAGTCTCGGCACGTTACTAATATATGAAAAGGTATAAACAAACAGCAATCTGGTTGTTTAGCTCCTGCAGCCCACTTACAAGGATCCAATTATGGCAGATCCCTGGAGCCGCCAATACAATCAGGCAAGAGTGAGTTGGCGTTATGATTAACTGTGGAGGCAAGGCCATGTTCTCTTTAGCTGCACCAGCACAGCCAGAAGGCCTCCACCGACAGGGGCAGTTTTGAGCCCCGGTGAGGCCCAAAGGCTCCACTCCTAGAGCAGGCTGAAGGAGTGGAGGGCCATATGACACAAAAATAACTTAACACACCTCTCAGCCTGTACCTCAGACACTGCATCCAGACAGTGCTGTGAGTAAACTAATTTACTCGGTGGCTCGAGTTTATGGGCCATTGGGTGCAGTATAACACACCATTTGCACCAGGAATTCCTTAAACAAAGCTTACGGCAAAAAAACGACAGTAAAAAACCCACCTGCTTTCAGTACTTTTTGTCCGACATCATAAGGTTGGCTTGTTTTAAAAAGAAAATGCTACATATGTTTCCTAAAAGGGCAAATACAAGCACATCTTCCAATAAGTCTCCTTGGAGTTTATGAGATTAAACTGCAAGGAGGTCCTGAAAAGTTCTACCAGGTAGAGCATGGCATTAATGTTGCCAGGGTTAGGGGTTCAATTCCCACTGGGACCACCCATGCTTAAAAGGTATGCACTCACGTTATTGTAAGACACTTAGGATAAAAGCGTCCACCAAATGGCATATATTATATATCATTACAATGTAAAACAGGCAAAGCTTTTTTGACAGTGTTTCTCCTATCTGCTGGGGAGTCTGTGACTTGAGTCCCATCTGTGAATATTAAAAGGTGTAAATGTGTGCCTAAATAGCTAGCTAATAACAAGCCTGACTGTATCAACACATTCAACAGTGCAGTTCACTATATTTTGGGGGCAAACAAATATATAAATAGTCTGTAGTATTAGAAAAAAAAATAGCAGGGACTCTTTCAGCAAGAGTATTGATATATCCAACAGTGCTTTTCGCTTCAGTCTTAACGAAAAACACTTTCAGCGGGAATGTGAACAAGCGGCTGAAAAGTAGCCAGGGCTATGGATCTAGCACGTTTGCCATTTATCATTCAGTGCCTGGGGTTGTGTACAGTTAGCTGTTTAGCTGCCGGGGATCAACTCATTTTCCAAAGCCTGCCTGTCAGGAGCAGCCGAGCAATACAATGAAAGGAGTAGACGCATGGACACAGAAACACAAATACAATGCAATCCGACGACGCTACTCTTATCGAATCACATCAACAATCACTCTTTTTGTACTCAAGGTCAGAAGGACTTTCCCAAAACATTATTTTCATCTTTTAGATGAAAGTGGCCGACAGATATCTTTTAGGGCCATCGTGTCCCAAGGTAAACAAACATTCGGCCTGCTCCATGCTGATCTTATGATCTACAGGTTAATGTTTTTTTTTATTGTGGATTCCTCCCCACCCCCCTCTGCTTAGCACATGGCACTGCTCTGTCAACTGAATGTCGCGAGGGGCAATGCTCAGATCATCAACAGCCATCCGGCACTAACAAGATAGACACCCACAGACACTCAACTGGTGGTAAACAGCATGATCTCACACACACACACATGCAGAGGGGCACAGCAGGCGAGGAACAGCATGATCCAGCCTTACCTACCGTGCATGTGGGGCTGCATCAGACAGCTGAACTCAACACAACAACACTTGTCCCTGTGAGGCCCTATGTTGCAATAGACCTCCCTCACAGATTCCCTTCAATTAGACAGAAGCTCGGTGGTGGTGGAGGCCCGGCCTCTGCTTGCTCCTCAGATGCTGCATCAGACCACCAAGGGCACTTGGTAGTTTGTTTCCATCTACAGTCCAGGGACTGCAGATGGAAATGAGCAAGTAGCTAAATCTGGTACAATGCATCTATTCTCCTTGTGCGAAATTCATGTTTTTGTATATGGTCCCTGACAAATAAATGTAATAAACAAAAAAAACTAAAGCTAAAACTTTATTTATTCATTTATTCATTCATTTGTTTGCGTTTACTCGCATTTACTTAGTACGTGTGTGTGTCTAGGTGTGTGTGTGTGTGTGTGTGTGTGTGTGAGAGAGCGAGAGAACGAGATAGGGAAAGAGTGAGAGTGTGCTTATGTGTTTGTGTTTTACAGTACATTTAGTAAATAAAAAAAGGGCAACAGATAAGCCAGCCCTCTTCCTGGTCTCCCAATGATTAATATGCAGGCTTATGGTGGAGCAAGGCGGGGGTGGGTGGCGGTCGGGGATGGGCGGAGGTTTGTCTGTGGTTTAATTAGTGCGTTCCTGGCAAATTCGCCACCAGTAATTATGGTTGGGATTTTTACTGACCTTTCCAGTATTTTCTGCATGTGTCGCTTTTATCCGATCATGTTTTATTCACAATCTTTGTTTTCAAGATGTTGTAATAATAATTAATAAATTATATTTTGTATTCAGTGTGTGTGTATATATATATATATATATATATATATATATATATATATATATATATATATATACACACACACACACACTAATCTAACATATATGTTAAATTAGTGAAATTTGTCATACAAGTAACCGCATTTGATTATGTAATTCTTTCTCTGATTATTTTTGATTAGCACCACTCTCTGAGATTACAACCATGGACAGTGGCCGACCATTTCAGTAGGTGCGCAGCTCTTGCAAGGAGGCAGGCATGCATATAAGCATGTCACTCTGCTTTTATAAGATTACATTTTGCCCAGCAGGAGAGAAAAAAACAACAATATAAAAGCACACTTCTTACATCATGTGCAATGCCCGCTCTCCTTTCCCCAGCAGTTTCCAGATGAACCGGCAGAAACAATCTTGTTTTCCCCCCTGAGAAGGTCTACCGTGTTGAAGAGGAGGTACAAAAGAAACAGAGTAAATTAAACGGTGGCAGGTTGGAGGTTGGAGCGTGATGTCAGGCTGCTGGAGTTAAGACTGATATACAGGGGAGCAGGCACAGCCGCATGGTAACTAGGTTATTAGAGGATTAATTGCCAGGTTCACACTTGTGGCCCTTTTCCATACACATGTGCTGGCTTGGCTTGACTCTGTTTGACTCGGCGCATCAGCCCAGCGCGGCTGGGATTTGCATCTCCATTACAACAGGGCTTCCCGCTTGAAGGTGTGTCTTTAACTGATGCCGTGCTTGTCTCGAGTCGATGACATTTAAAAGCAGTGCCCTCTTTAGCACTGTTTACTATTGCACGGTGCAACGGTCCAAACAGCAAGCAGGGCTTGTCTTTCAGCCGCAGACCAAGCGCCTGCCATTCTGCCATTTTGTCTTTTCAGTTTAAACTGTCGCTGTAACTGTCGCTGAATAAAACTGTCGCTGAATCTGTCCAGTAGACTAGAGTCTAATTGCTGAATCGTCCCTGAATGACGATGAAGCCCATCTGACATCACCGCAACCCACTTGGAGGTGGGTCTGGCAAGCTTTGGCCGGACTCTGGTCCATCTCGGGCGTGACGCGGAACAACTAGGAATGTTTAAAATGGTAATGGAAACACAAATGAACGCAGCATGGTTTGATTCAGTGCGGCCAAAAGTGCCAATGGAAAGACGCTATTGGTGTCAAGCCGATGTCTGTATGTGGAGAAAGTACCCCCGTCCCCCTCTTTCTAATACCAGACACACAACCACACATACTCCACACACTGCGAAACCTTGCCATGACATGGCACATATAGGGAGCTGTGCTGGAAGGATGAGGGCTGCCATGGTCTCCTCTGTGAAATGACGGCTTCCTGTTTGCAGGCCTTACTTTAGCAAAAATGCTTTAAACGGGCCAAACGAGAGCAGTGCTTATCCAGCAAAATTGCTGCTAGATGGAGCAGAAAGTGCACAAATGTTCTATGACACCCCAGTAATGAGGTTTTATATTGACCCCGGCGAGGCAAAGTGGAGGAGCCCGCCGCTCCTCCTTCTCTTCTCTCAGTGACTCTATGGGCTCCCCTCACACTCTATTTGGGGCCCAATTCTCTCACTAGTGAGGCCTTGTCTCAGTCAGCGAACACAGAACAACACACATCACTCAAGTCTCCTCATATAGTATTCATAAGGCTCCAATATACCGCCACTATAATGGACACAAGGGATACAGTTCTGTTGTCAGCTGCTAACGAACATTATAAACCTAGGATTTCCTTGAACTTTCCTCTAAGTTTCTTGTTATTTTTTTTTTAGTGGACTGGATGTTCTTGCTTAGGGATGTTATGTATATGCAAAAAAAAATAATGTGAAAAAAATGTAGTATAAAAAGCTAAAGAATGTGAACTAATTCCTATTTCTTCTTATTTCCAAATGCTAACGAATTAATTTGAGTTAATCACGTTAATCGCGTTTTTGTGTATTTGTCGATGGTTCATAAGTACTTTCGAACTGAGTAAAGACCGAATAAGTCGAACCATAATTGTTGGCTTTCATACAAAACTGTACAAACAGAAGTGCGGATGCTTTGATAACAGTGTGCGCTTTCCGTTTGATCAGCATCTCCCTGAAGACATCTCTTCTCCTAGAATCCTAAGTGCCTGAGGCGGTGGCCCGCGATGCACACGGCTCTGTATCCCGGAGCCGGAGCAAGGAAAGGTCAGCGCTGGATGTTTGTGAAAGCCAGGAGAGCCACTGATCTCACTGTGATCTCGGAACAGTTATTGTATTCATAGCATATGTGTTCCATCTAGCGCCATGGCCCAACACTGACATTTACAACCGAATAACAGAAAGGAATGAAGAAAAAAGTACGAATTGGGGGCAGGGGATGGAGCGAGACGAGAAGAAAAGGAAAAAAAAAAAGAAAACCAAAAAATAAACAAAGATAAATAAACAAAGATACAGAAAAACGACAAAATCTGGGAGAAAAAAACAAAAGAAGAGCAGCTACACAGCCAATAAGGCCGTCCATCATAGATTCATTGGACGTGTCCCTCACACTGTTGATCCTGACACCGATATGGAGCTGGGATATGAATGTCATGTCAGCAAAGGCTGGGCTCAAAGCAGGCGATGCACTCTCATTAGTAATATTTTTCTATGTCCGTCAGGGTAGCATGCGCCAAGCTATTTTAAGTAAATGCATCACCACAGAGTTTTTGCAAAGTCTGCAATCCTCTGTTGGATTAAAAATGTATGCTTGGATGGGAATAATATTAAAATCAAGACCAGTGATAATTATTACCTTAAAGGGAAACACATATCATTTCAACAAGAGGAGTATCCATTTGCCCAACTACCCTCTGGAAGACGTTTTCCGAAGACGCATCTGCAGTGCAATAGTTTAAAAGAGGCCATTTGTTCATGATTTCTAGTATAGGTTCTATCTGAGGTGTGAGATTAAGTCTATTTTTCAGACAAACCGAAGCCTCAAAGGCTACTCTCAATGCTTTACGGCTGTTTTCTTTTTGACAGACATAAAATTGTGACCTTTAAATGATTCTTGTTATCAGGGAAGCCAAACAAGAAAATCGATGGGACGCTGCTGAAGAGGTGGGATTAATGCAGGCCAAATTGATCATTCCATTTTATTTTCACCTTGATTTGATGTGCCGGCAACAAATGCCTAATCTGACCACAAACTGCTCTTAACACTTCAGAAGACAATCTTTTAAAGCAGAAA